CTGTCGGAGGGTCAGCGCCGAGGGAGCGGGCACTGTCGGGAGGGTCAGCGCCGCGCTGTCGGAGGGTCAGCGCCAAGGGAGCGCCGTGCTTTCGGAGGGTCATACTGCTCTGGTGCTTTTTGACTGGAATCCAACGTCTCTCATCCCTCTGTCCCTTTATTGGTCCCCATTTCCTGTACTCCCTCTCTCTATCCGCCTTTCTCTGTGTCTGTTTCCCCCCTCTCTATCTCTCCACAGTGTGCAGCTGCCTTCCTGATTATCCAGCTCTGTAGTCGAGGTTCTCCTGTGGAGATTCAGGGTGAAGATTTTCTTCAAAGTGTACATTCAGTACTACTGTCCTCTCCACAGGTAGGCGTGACATTAACTCTGTATCTAACCCCGTGCTGTCCCTGTCCTGGGAGTGTTTGATGTGGAGGGTGGGAGCTGGGTTGCAGTGTACAGGCTACTTTCCTCTGTATCTAACCCCCTGTCCTGGACAGTGTTTGATGGGAATGGTTTAGCAGGAGCTGATCCCTAAGCAGTGTTCGATCAGTGTTATCTTTCTGTTCTAGACTTCCGTTTCCCCGCCAATGGATCTGGGAAAGTTCGATGGTTTGTTCACTCTGTTGTTGCAGTATGTGAATGAGGTACGGTGTCATCCTGCATTTCCAGTTGACGCTGCACGGTCTGTCTCTCTCACACACACACACTCAGGGGAGGTGATAGCCTAGTGGTATATCGCTGGACTGTTAATCCGGAGACCCAGTTAGTGGACAAATCCCACCACGGCAGAAGGGTGGAATTTCAATTCAATAAAATATCTGGAATTAAGAATTAATGATGACCATGAACCCATTGTCACTGGTTGGAAAAACCTGTTTGGTTCACTAATATCTTTTATGGAAGGAAACTGCCATCCTTACCTGGTCTGGCCTACATGTGACTCCAGACTCTCAGCAATGTGGTTGACTTGAACTGCCCTGTGAGTAATTAGAGATGGACAATAAGTGCTGCCTAGCAAGCAACACCCTCATCCTGTTAATGAATATAAAAATCACACGCATTATCTCTCTCACATACACTTTCTCTCAAACAAATGTGCGTGAATGCACGCGCACTCACACACTGTCTCACTCACAAACATTGTCTCTCTCACACACTCACACATAGTCTCTCTCTCACTCTCACACAAACTGTATCTGTCTCTCACACACACTCTCTCTCACACTTGGATACATACACACTGTCTCTCTCTCTCACTCAGATACACACACACATATCTCTCTGACACATTCACAATTGCTGTCTCTCACACAATCTCCAACGCACAATGTCTGACCCACATGCTCCTTGACACACACACACAGGAAATCTCTCAGGGACAGCTCACCAGCCTCAGAAACAGCCTCAGCTGTTCTCTGCGGTGTGTGTGTGTGATGTTAGGTCTACTGTCTCCAGTAGTCCTCCAGCCTGGAGGAGAAAGGCAGTTCCAGAGCAAGGACAGGATTTTGGACTGAGATGAGGAATAACATCTTCACTCAGATGGTGGTGAGCCCGTAGGATTCTGTCCCACTGAAGGCCTTAGAGGCTGATCCACCGGAATGTACCGAAGAAAGAAATAGAGAGGCGTACGGTCTCGGGGAGGGGTGCAGCGACAGAGCAGGTGTGTGATGCTGAGATAGAGGGTCAGCCATAATCTTGTTGAAAGTTACAGCATGTTCAGTAGGGCTGAATGGCCTACTCCTATTTCTGACATTTCACCTGTGTCTCACTCCCTGTCTCTCAGGGAGAACCCTCCATGCTCCGAGACTTTACAGACTCTGAATTGTGGAACACTGCTTGGCGTTGTCTGGCCCAAGTACTACATCTCAGCCCAGACAGACCAATCATGGAAGGAGAGACGCCCCGGCCTGGCCAGCCGAGCCCAGTTCCGGATTGGACCACCCTGTCTCCCTCAGGTCAGCTGGCATTGATCGTTTACTCTGCACCCTTCTCCGCTGTCACTCTCACACTGCCCCTGTACATCTCTCTCTCTCTCTCTGTCTCTCTGCCTGTCCCTCTGTCGGTTTCTGTCGGTCTCTCTCTCTCTCTCTATCTGTCCCTCTGTCAGTCTCTCTCTGCGCCTGTCCCTCTGTCGGTCTGTCTCTTCTCTATGTGTCTGTTTTTCTCATTCTCTCCCTCCCTCTCTGAATGCCTACCAGCAAGTCTCATTCCCAGCTGTACCTTTCTCTCTCTCTCTCCCATTTACTCACTAATATCTGGCCCCTAATTTTTTTTCCTGTCTCCCACACACCCTCCCTAACTCTCACATCTCTCTCTCTCTCTCATCCTTTCACCTTCTCTGCTACGAATTCTCCCTCTCTTTCTCTCTCAGCCACTTCTCCCTCCATCTGTCACCCACTCTCTCACT